TTTTTTTTTTCGTTCTGCTATGTGTCGTTTATATCTCTCTTTATTTTCTAAGTGTGTGTATTAGTTGTTTTTTGACTGATGATGTGACAGGTTATCTAAATGTTTTCTTTTTATAAATAGAATTCATCATTTCGCAGATTTATATGCAAAAAAATTATCAGTTAAACGAGAAATATTAATGAAAACATTATGGGGTGATTATTATTTTGATGAAAAAACTAAACGTGTTTGTAAAGGTGCACAAGTAGGATAATTATTTCTAATTGAATTAAATATTAAGAGTAAGTTTTAAGAGTAAAGGACAAAAACCAATGTTTGTTCAATTTATTCTTGAAAATCTTTGGAGTGTTTATGAAGCAATTATTATTCGACCGTTTGTATTTTGATTTTTTTATCAAATAAAAACTTCATGTTTTTTAGTGATAATGAAAAACTTGAAAAAATTGCAACATCAATTGGTGCTACATTAACTCCACGAGATATTCAACATACTGATCCTTCTGTTCCATTACATCTTATATTTAATCAATGGTTACCTATTGCTTCTGCTGTCTTTGGTTAGTTAATATTCAACTAAAAATCTCATTTTTATTTTTGAATAGATATAGTTGTTGTTCAAGTTCCAAATCCAAAAGCATTAAATATAGAAAAAATTGAACAATTAATGTGTAATAAAAGTCGTCGATTTGATACATTGTTATCAGAAAATCAACAATTAAAACAAGGTAAATTTTTCATTATACTTTATTAATATTTATTATGAATTTTTTTTTGTTGAAAGCATTTATTAATTGTTCAAGTGATGATCAAGAACCAGTGATAATTTATGTTTCAAAATTATTTTATGTGAATAAGAATGCTCTATCACAAAATAGACATAAGTAAGAGGGAACTGTTTTCTTTAACAGATTTATGCTTTTTTTCTGTATAGATCATTAACTGCTGAAGATATAGCACAAGAACGTGAACTTATTAAACAAAAGGTAGCTGAAGAGACAACAACAACAAATGAAGAATTAACAAATGAAACTGTAGAAAACGACGATCAATCGACGACAGAAAAAGATGTTGGAGATTCAATAAAAACAGAATCGAATGAAAATATGAATGAAAATGTATTTCTTGCATTTGCACGTGTTTATAGTGAAAGATTAAAACGAGGACAAAAAATTTTTGTTTTAAGTCCATGTCATGATCCAACATTGTTCGTTGGAAAAGTAAGATTAATTATCTTACTTAAAGTAATAAATTTCGTTTCTTAGAATCTTAATGAAGTTTCCGCTCATAATATTTCTCATCATGCACATGAATTTATTGTTCAAGATCTCTATTTAATGATGGGTCGAGAATTTA